ACAACGCGCCGAGTCACTCTCTCGGGTATTAAATATTCGACAAGTAATAGTTTCGGCGAGCTCAGATTTTTCGGCGTGGCGCGAAAATGATCTCTACGTTTAGAGGAGAGACAGCAGGGATATGAGATACCGCATTTGTGTGTGTATATTTTTTTTGTCGACTTCTTGAAATTAAGTCTAGTTTAGTTTTACGCGTTATACACATTCGTGTCTCTCATATACATACATACATGCATTACGGTTTATTAAGATAATACGCGCATTCCAGTGGTGTGAACATGAACCGTACGAACCACACTTGTGTCATCCGAAAAGTTTTTATACAATTTCTGAAAGGAGCGAAAATCATACGCCGTGGCGTTTCCCCTGTACTCCTCATACCCGTTCTCATACTTCACCTCTTTCCACCCCCCCTCCTTCCATCTGCGAAACAATGAAAAACGCGACGACCACGTCCTGTTACGGCGCATTTCGCCGCGTCTTGTAGCACGGGGAACTGAACTCGTCGAAATTATACCGGTTTCAATCCCCCTGGTCGCTCTCGGGCGGATTCAGCCACGAACGAAAAGACAGAGACGCGGCAATCAGGGATGCGATGGAGCGACGGAAAGGACCAAAAAAATTATTCTGCTGTGCGCGTTATCCTCGGAGATAGCGATATATACTCGTTAAAAGACACTTTGAAAAATGACGACGTAGATATATATACGTCGCGCCGGTCGAGCCGGAGATCTTTATGCCTTCGTATCGCTCTCGCCAAGAGAATCGCGAAGGAGTATACTGGATATCGAAAGCATCGTCAGACGGGATTATTTTACTTTTGCGTAGGTAAAATTTTGTACCTCTGTTAAAGAATGATCTCAGAGAAATTGTCTAGGAACTAGAGATAAATAAATGAGAGCTTCTCGTAGAGGAGTAAAATTAAGCTCTCTTTACGAATTCTTAGATACACCAACTAGTCCTATCTCTTTTTCTTTATTATAATGTGATGATATTTCTCGGAAGGGAGAGCAAAGTAAATCCCGTGTGGCGATATACTCGGATTTTTGCAAGTTTGCTGCAAGATCGCAGAGCGTTCGGAATGCTAAATAGATGCTGCGTATAATATTGCCTCGAAAAGCAATTATTTTAACACTTTGATTGTGTTGACTGTGTTTCGTAAGCGTATATAAGTGCTAGATAAGAAAGCGCTGGGAAAGGAGAAAATAAAAATTATTGTGTGGTCGCGATATTCGGGCGATGTTGGGGTCCATTGTGACGATTTCTTTTGATGGAAAGTTTGATTTCATCTTTGAAGGATTCTTGTATTCGATTCAGACGCGATTAAATGCAAGAACGTAATATTATCTAGTCATCGTATTCTACGCCTGCGTAATTATCGATCGCCAATTTATTTGTTGATACGGACACACTGCCACCGATCGATACGAGATCGATTTTGCTGTATCTGTCTTCGTTCTATTTAAATGAAGATAGCGTAAAAAAAAAAATAAAAATACATTACCTTGAAATTTTAAGGGTTGTTTATTTTGCGGTAGTGAAAACTATGGCATATACTCTAAATCATATTAATAATTTTTTCTCTTGATACTTGCAATATAAAATTTTTGATGATATTCAACATTATCATTTATTATTCTTTTTCACTTTTTATAATTAATGCTTAATAATTTCTATTTTCTTTTACTCAAAAAAAGAGAAAAGATATTTCTTTTCCATTTTGTTCGCTTATTAATTTGTGTTTAAACGAGCATTTCATTTCTTCAAACTTTTCCTTTTAAATCTGTCGTAATTTTCTCAATTATTAAATTACATTAAGTTACATTGTTATGTCTAATAAATAGAAAACGTTTTCATTTTTACAACGAGAGAAAGCCATAAAATAAGATTGTATCTTTCTCATTTCAGCTTGCAATTTTAGAATTATAAGTAAATTATCATCGCCGTTTCGCGTAGTATTATCCGATGCCCGCGGTATAAATTTCCCTGGCATTTTTCCGGTATTTATTTTCAAAGCGTGGTTTGCCAAAGTAGCAATTAGCATTCATCTACTTTACACGGATTAAGGATAATATCACTACGACTGTAACATAAACACGCCGCGCGATCAGGTAAGTAAAAACTCCGCACTTATCGAATAATTTATCTCCATATCCGTACAGATGTACGCAGATTAGACTAGACTTACGGTAACCGCAATTTGCGCGAACACAAAACGTGATAACGATTTCCGAGCGACTCTTGGAGTATTTCGAGCGGGTTCAAAAGCGCGTATACGTCGTGCCTGAATCGCTGAGATGCACCGATGGTGCTCGTTGCCATATTCGGAGTTGCAACGGCCAGGGAGAGGACCAACCGGTCCATTACCCTTCTCTCCCAAAGAGAGTTTGCTCCGGACATCGCGTAAAAACTGCTCTGCCGATTTCGGCACATCAGTTCAGACGCAAAAACACAGACCTTCCATCGAATATCAAAAATTTAAAGATCTCTTGAGCTCTTTTCACTATCGCTTTCAGATTTGAAAATTATTCCATTCTTTAAAAATAACATCCGCACTCCCTACTTTTATTAAAAAATTGGAATTATCCCGCTTTTCTGTTATTCTTTTATAATACAGGATGTCTACTCCCTAAAAAAAATCTCTAAAAAAATCCCTGATTTTCGAGATATTTTTGTTCAAGATTTCACCTTGTAAAACTGATAGAAATCGTATGAAAAGAAGAGGTTTAATCTAAAGAAGAGGTTTAAATCTAAAATTATCTCTTTCAATTTGATGCCGATCTGTTTCCATGGAAATTAAATTGTGACAGGTAATGACAATTGCGAAAGGAAGAATATAGGACGTCAAACCTGTGATTAAAGTCGCGTAATGCTGCAATTCGCAATGTATGTTAAAAATGCGAGAGATCTCTGGAGATTGCTATATTTTTTCTTATTTCCTCTCCATCGGACAAAGTTCGAATCACTTTTACAATTGGTCCAAGGACGCCATGCGTGAAAGTGAAAGGTCATTGCGTGATTCGGGCTTTAAGCCCGACGCAATGATGTAACTTGCATCAAGCCGTCAAGTAGACAGGCGGTAAGAGGTAACAGATAATCGACATTACGGGAAAAGCAAACGAAATTCCGACGTGCGACGAGCTTGCACGCACGTATTACACGCACTCTTGTACACCGTGACGCGAATGCGCGCGGGAAAATCGCGCGGAGGAATACACACGAAGTGTCGCGAATCGTGTTTCACTCGTGATAGCGGATTGTGAAAGTCGTCGCTTTGCGGGATTTCTCGTGGGATTCGAAAGTAGCGACAAATTGCGATGGGAGAAAAAAAAAAAAACCAGCGATCTAGCGATCACGCGTACATCGACTTGTCTCTCTCACGGTATTTGGCACTTTATATTACGTAATGTTTCGAGCAGCGACGCCCGTCACCGGGAGCGCTTTTTTAAAGGGGACGAGTCACGCTGCATAATCGTTATTATTATACGTTATGCAAGGATGATCGTGCGTATCCTGGATGATACGTCGAGCTGCGTTGGAAGAAAATTTACGAGCCTCGATTGCGCAGGAAATCACCAGCGAGTCCGGATTATATTAATCTATACTGTCCTTTAATATACATGATGTGATACGTAAATTAACTAACTCTGGATATCGAGCGAGAAGTGACCGTATCCTTTATAAATTGCGATTCAGAAAGTAAATAACTGACATTTATGATAACAAAATAAGATATGAAATAAATAGAGAATTTTTTTTATGCGTGTATCTCTCGGTGTGCGTGCGCGAGTCTGAGATACGAGTTATCATATTCGAAGCTATAATTATAAGTTAGAAATCAAAAGATTTCATGCGATTTTGATCTTCAAATTAACAAGTGAAAGCGATTTATGTCGGATTAATCACACTACGTACAGGACACGCTCTTACAAACATCTTAACCATCTATCGTCGCGAATAAATTACATTCGCGTGGCTAGTTGATGTGTTGCGCGAGATGCTATAATACTTCGTACAATTTTACATATCACGATATATGATACCCCAAACTCTCGCAAGCTATTAAATTTTAATTATCGGTAACTCTACAAAATTACGAAATAATAAATTCCTCTCTTTAAACAAGCATGTGCCAAGGAAGCTATTATTCCGCGAGAAATTGACGCGCGATAAAATCGTTTCCGTCGCGCAGTTCGAATCTCTCGAAGACTAGAGAGAAACTTGTCAAGCAGAACTTGGCGCCATCAACGGACGGACGATTCTCGCGCCTGTCAACGAGCCGAGCGCAAAAGCGATCGGAACCCTCCCATCCTTCGTCGCCGATAGTGCGAACGCGTTGTCGCTGACGGAGTTTCGAGTGGTCTTTCCGGTTTGCAACGCGACCAAAATGGTCACGCTGCATAATCGTTATTATTATACGTTATGCAAGGATGATCGTGCGTATCCTGGATGATACGTCGAGCTGCGTTGGAAGAAAATTTACGAGCCTCGATTGCGCAGGAAATCACCAGCGAGTCCGGATTATATTAATCTATACTGTCCTTTAATATACATGATGTGATACGTAAATTAACTAACTCTGGATATCGAGCGAGAAGTGACCGTATCCTTTATAAATTGCGATTCAGAAAGTAAATAACTGACATTTATGATAACAAAATAAGATATGAAATAAATAGAGAATTTTTTTTATGCGTGTATCTCTCGGTGTGCGTGCGCGAGTCTGAGATAC